TAGGATGTGTGGCAAGAGTGATCACTGAGAAGAAAGAAAGAAAAAGGAGTGTTCAGAAGTTCTGAATGTTTCAGAGTTCACTAAGTCTCGAAGTAACTACATTGTTACTTTCCCCTTAATCCTCCTGAAAATTCCCACCCTAAAGCCTTTGGTAGGATCTAACCCAGGAGGCACCTGTGCCAGCGTAGGATAAAGGGAGACATGGTGGCCCAGAGTAGGGTGTCAGAACTCAAGCAGGGTGAGAAGCGCACCTGACTAGGAGGAGGGATGCTTTGCAGAATATTGGAACCACATCAAGATCAGGGGGAAATATGTGTATATATCAAAAACCAGGGTTCAGCCCTGGCTGGGTGGCTCAGTTATTTGGAGCATTGTCCCATACACCAATAGGTTGTGGGTTCGATTCCCAGTCAGAGCACTTACGTAGGTTACGGGTTCAATCCTCTGTCTGGGCATGTACAGGAGGCAACCTGATTGATACTTCTCTCTTAAATCTCTCCTCTTTTCTAAAATCAATAAATATATCCTTGGGTGTGGATTTTAAAAAATGGGTTCAAATAGTTACCTTTAAGTTCAGGACCTGGGAGTTTAACATTTCTAACCTGGAACTGTGAAGTATGATAATGAGGTCCAAGTGCATGGCTTTAGATTGCTAAATTAGCTCAGACGGGAAGAGTTATGGCATCAGGATTTTAGACTTGAGAGACCAGGAAGTTGGATACATTGTCCATGTGGCCATTGAAGTTCTCTAGGAGGTGCAATACTTGGAAATGAGAGGAATAGTAGGAAACCAGTACAAAAGTCTTCAGTGAATTAGGACAAGTTTAGAGAATGACAAAAGGTGATAGTAGTGGGTGGGGTAATAAAGAGTAATATGGCTAAATGGCATAAATCTTGAAGGACAGATAGTATTTGAGAGCAGGAAAGTCAAGATCTTGAAGCACCAAGAATGCCAACCCCAACTCAAGGTACCGATATACACTGGGGTACTTGAAATGCAGAAGTTCTAGAAGACTGCAGTGAAGGCCAGATTTATGCTAAAAGCTGTACTCACACTGAATCTAGATGTTGCATTTTTAATTTAACATTATAATATAAATATTCTCATAAATTTAATTTTAAAACCTATTCAACATCTAATTTAGTGAATATTCATAACATTTTTAGTCAATTACCCTATTATTTTTTATTTAGATTTTTTCAAATTTTTCTTATTATAAACAATGAAGTAATGAGCATATTTGGGACTAAAAATTTTTTTTACCATTCATGATTATTTCATTTAGAGAGTTTCCTAGAAGTGGAATTTCTGCCGTAAAGCATGGGAACATTTTTTAGGCTCTTGATATTAATTGTTCTATATTCATCATGGATTCTCCCTGCCCCAGTGCTGCAACCAACCGTTTCTACAAGGATCCGTGGTTCCTTTTAGTGGAGAATAATATTCACATGACGAGATCTAGGAACTAGATATGTTCATTGAATTAGAATGTCACCATCATGATGTCCTCTCAGTGGACAAAGATAGGAAATTAATTGTATCATGAGTGTGTATGTGTATGTAATATGTACATTTTATGCATACACACATTTACATCTGGTTATCTTTAATGTTAGTTTAATGTTAGGCCAACACTTGCTTACATATTTATAACTTTCCCCTTTGACAGTGAGAAACCAAGCTTCTATTATACTTAAGTATTTAAGTCCTCTATGTTTCCCCTCTTCCTCTTATGCAATTAGACTTCAAGTTCATTCTCTAACTCATCAGATATAGAGAGACCACAGGTTGGACCTAATTGGTGAGCCTTTATTACACTGAAAAGAAACTTCCACATCTTTTTGAATTTATGTTGTTTTAAAACTGATGCTTACATCATTTTAATTATAAATGTTATCTAATGCTGAGAGGCCAGTCATCAATAATAATTTAAATTGAGAAAGAGAAAGTTAGTTGATATCTTTAATATCATGGAGCGCAATAGTGATAGTGTCCATTTGATTTATTGCTTTTATTGGCTATTATATGTTATTGTATGAGAAACGTATGGATAACATTATCAATGATTAGAACATCTGGCCAAGATGGGGGCATTGGTAGATACACTTTGTCTCCTGACACATCCAAAAGAAGGACAACAACAAATTTAAAAACAAAAAACAACCAGAACTACCAGAAAATCTAACTGTATAGAAGTCCAACAACCAAAGAGTTCAAGAAGAAATATTCATCCAGACTGGTAGGAGGGGTAGAGACAGTCAAGGCAGAGAAGATACATGGCAAGGCTGTGGCTGGAGGACTAGGCGGGTGGGTGGACGAGATGTCAGCTGGTGGTCCCACATTTGCATGCAGATAAACCTGGAGGAATAATAGGAGAGTGAAACAGACCACTCAACCCAGAGTTCCAGTGTGGGAAAAGAAAGCCTCAAAACCTCTGGCTGTGAAACCTGTGAGCATTGAGGTGGTGGGAGAAACTCCCAGCTGCACAGGAGTGTTTGTTGGAGAGACCCACAGGGTCCTAGAACATACATAAATGCACACACCTAAGAATCCACACCAAAAGGTCCTGATTTGCTTATGGGTAGCAGGGGAAGTGACTGAAAGCCCACGTACAGCATCATGACTGAAGAGACATGAGTTGCCCCATCCTAGAAAATACCTAAGGCTCTGCTCCTTCCAACATAACAGGTGTGCCGAGACAAAGAAATATGGCCCAAATGAAAGAATATATCAAAATTCCAAAAATAGAACTAAGCAACAAAGAGATAACCAACTTAACAGATGCAGAGTTCAAAACACTGGTAATCAGGATGCTTACAGAAATGATTGAGTATGGTCACAAAATGAAGGGAAAAATGAAGGCTATGCAATGTGAAATAAAGAAAAATGTACAAGGAACCAACAGTGAAGGGAAGGAAGCCAGAACTCATATAATTGATTTGGAGCAAAAGGAAGAAATAAACATTATACCAGAACATAACGAAGAAATAAGAATTCAAAAAAATGAGGAGAAGCTGAGGACAACTTTAAACATTCCAAGATCCAAAATCATAGGGATGCCAGAAGGAAAAGAGGAAGAGCAAGAAATTGAAAACTTATTTGGAAAACAATGAAGAGAACTTCCTCAATCTGGCCAACGAAATAGACTTCCAGAAGATCCAGGAAGCTCAGAGTCCCAAAGAAGGTGGGACTAAGAAAGCACACACCAAGGCACATCATAATTACATTATCTGAGATTAAAGATAAGGAGAGAACCTTACACGCTGCAAGAGAAAAAGAGACAGTTAACTACAAATGAGTGCCCATAAGACTATCAGCTGATTTCTCAAAAGAAAACTTGCAAGCAAGAAGGGGCTGGAAAGAAGTATTTCCAAGCCATGAAAAGCAAGGACCTACATCCAAGATTACTCTATCCAGAAAAGCTGTCATTTAGAATGGAAGGGCAGACAAAGTGCTTCCCAGATAAGGTCACGTTAAAGGAGTTCATCGTCACCAAGTCCTTATTATGTAAAATGTTAAAGGGACTTATCTAAGAAAAAGAAGATCAAAACTGTGAACAGTAAAATGACAACAAACTGACAACTATCAACAACTGAACCTAAAAATCAAACAAGCTAAGCTCGAATAGGAACAGAATCACAGAAATGGAGATCACATGGAGCGTTAACAGTGGGAAGGGAGAGGAGGTGAATGGGGGAAAAGGTCCACGGAACAAGAAGCATAATTGGTAGGCACAAAATAGACAGGGAGAGGTTAAGAATAGTATAAGAAATGAAGAAGCCAAAGAAGTTTTGTGTACGACACATGGATATGAACTAAGTGCGGAGGGGAGTGCTGGTGGGAGAGGGGTGCAGTGTGGAGGGGGATAAAGGGGAGAAAAAAATGGGACACCCATAATAGCATAATCAATAAATATACTTAATAAACAAACAAACATCTATATGAAAGTCCTCTTTTGACTAAATAGTAGATAACTTTCTCAATCTGTATGTGAGGTAAAAGATTTCACTGTAAAACATTTTTTAAGTAAAGCAAATATTTTATGTTTTATAAAGAAAAACCCCCCAAAAGATGAGTTTCAAACACCTTTCCTAAAAAATTATACTTAAGGTAGCCCATGAACCAGAACTCACAGAGCATTTAGATTGAATCTTGGTGTCTTTGATTAGGTTTTAGCATACAGTTTCATTTTAGTTATCAAAAAAATATATAATATCATAATGTTTTAAAAACCAAAAAGTTTATTTTCATTCTACAATCAAAAATATTAATTTTTCTTAAAAATCCAGGGGACCCTCAGGTTATCATTTCATAAGTTATATAAATGTCTAACTCTTGTGCTGTACATCTGAGACTGTTATAAAGTTGAATTAAAACTGTAATTGAAAAATTGTTTTAATTAAATAAAATCCGGGAACCAATAAATCATGTTATTTCATGAAAACATACTTTTTAACTTTCAAAGGAAATCTTATAATGGCTTACGTTTTAAAACTAAAGGCTGTGACAGTACCAAAGATAAAGGAGACAGCCTCCTGAGTCACCAAGCATTTGGGAACTGACCCCCGCGTTCTGAACTTCTGGCAGTGACGTCACAATGTCCCAGCCATTCCAGCACCTGCGGAACAACAGAAAGGCAATGCTGAAGAGACACAGTTCACTAGTGAATAAATCCCATCGTCCGAATGAATTTTATGTTATTTATTTTTTTATCTGGGGTTTTTCTCTCAGGGATTAGTTATGTGATTCCCAATAACAAAGGTAAGTGAACGTTTAAAGCGTTCATTGACATAAGAAAGGTGGCCCATTATCCTAGAAAGTTGGTATATAGCAATCTTCTGTGGGGTAACAAAGTTTAATGTGGAAATACGGTGTAATTTAGAATTTAAATCTCTGCCTCAAGTTGTTTGTGAAAAGAATGTGGTTAAAAAATAAAAGTAGTAAAAGAAATGAACATATGCCTGATCTATGGTGTGTCATGTTTTTTTCAGAGTCTGATATGGTACCTATAAACGATGAAGAAAATAAAGAGGAAGAAATTAAGGATACTGTTCCTGGTAATGAGAAAAATGACCATCATTATAAAGATACAAAACAATGTAAGTCTTTGAAGTTAATAACAATACATACACAAAAGCTGATTCCATTGGTTTGATTTAACTCTTTTTAAAACTATAATCATATTATTTTTTTCTACTTAAATAGTAATTTACCTTATAGATATTTCAGGGTATAAAATGAAATTTTTATTTTCTGCAACTTTTTCATGAGATGTTACGAAGTTTTACAAGGTTCTCTAGTAATTGCCCATAATCAACATGTTTCATTGTAGCATTATGGTTATTTATTCACATGAGTAACAACTGACTTAATTCTATGTAGAGTTAACCAAAATTTATTTGGAGTTGTGTATGAGTTTCCTAGGGCTGCTAAACCAAGTAACACAAAACTAGGCGGCTCAAAGCTGCAGAAATTTATTCTCTCACAAATTCAGAAGCCAGAAATTCAGAATCAAAGTTTTTACTCTACCATGCTCTCTTCATATCCTTTAGGGAAGGGACTTTCCTTCCTTCTTCCAGCTTCCAGCAGCCACAGGCATTCCTTGCTTTGCAGCAGCAGAACTCCAAGCTCTTGTTTCCATGTGGCATTCCACCTATGTCTCTCTGTCTAAATTTCCCTCTTCTCACAGGAGTACCATTCATCTCGGATTAGGAGCCCACCTTAATTCAGTGTGACTTCATCTTAAGTACTTACATCTTAAATGACTCTATTTCCAAATTAGGTCATATCTGAGGTTTGGGGGGTTAGGACTTCAATATATTTTTTGGAGGAGAGGGACAAGTTTCAACCTATATCAAGATGGCTTTGAGGTGTGTGGAAGCACCATTAAACCTCATTCACCCTTCTCATATGGGCTTTCTTTCCATGTTCTTGTATGGTCAAGCATTCTAAAAAGTAAAAAGTTCATAAGAAACTCTTGTTAAAATTTCTTTTAAATTAAGATTAAATCTAGTTATTCTGGGTTCTTTATTAACATTAATCAAAGAAAAAATAGAAATACATATACACTCATGTATTTTGAAAACTATAATCCATTTATTTTTTATCCCTTCTTATGTTATCTCTTTTTTATATGTGGGAGGGGGACCTCTGATGCTCAAAGAGGTCAATGTCCAGGTTTCATAGCTACCAAGGAGCAGTCGGGAGTGGTGTAGAATCAGGTTATCTCTACTGTGCGCAAAACTGTGTAAGCATTTCCTTTTCAGATTGTAACTCTATTTGAGGTAACCAGATGTTAAATAAATCACACACACATACACACGCACACATTTATATAAAACTGTAAATAGAATCATATTAAATAATTGTATTATGACTGACTCTTCTCATTTAACAACTCTCCAACTCTTTTCACATCTACCTAATTATTTTTAATGGATAATCATTATTTTGAATGAACATATAATATTGCATAAAATGATGTTCCTTAATATATCCACTATCTTATAAAGAATTAAATTATGGGAAGCTTCTTCCTTGAATGTTTTCTCATATACTCTTGGATATATCTCTCTTTTAATAAATACCAAGTACTGGAATTATTGAATAAAGAATAAATACCTTAAAATATTGATAAATATCATTAAATTGCCCTCTAAAAAGTATCTACCAATTTGTTTCCCCCAAGAATGCTCCACAATCTCACCTACAATAAATAGTGTTAATGACATTTTGTGAAGAGGTAAGAAATTTCATTAGTGGTTTTAATTTGTGTGCTGATTATTCATGAAATTGAATACTTTTCTCTGTATTTATTGGGCATTTTATTTCTACTTCTGTCAAATTAAAACCGCAATAAGAGGAGAATCAAGATGGCAAAGGAGTGAGCGGAAGTCACACTGACCTCCTTTCAAGAACAATCTGGAATTACAACTAAATTGTTGAGAAATCACTGGGAACAAACAACTGAACAATAGTGAGAGAGGAGCCTTATACCTTCAGACAGACAAAAGAATCAGCATTAGCACAACTTACCTGGTAAGGAGTGCGGTAGAGACTTGAGAAGGTAGGTGGGGCATCCAAGGGGGGCAGCACCAGAAAGATACTAAAACGACCAGTTGGATTCCCCTGAGGAGAGCAGGCTCTAAACCATAAGCAGGGATCTCGAGCCTACAGCACCAGAGCCCCCAAATATACAGATAACAGTCAGCTGCAAAAAGCGGCAGGGTTGCTCTCTCCCAGAGACAGGCAGCTGGAAACACAAAGAGCCATTTAAAGGGCCAAAGCATAAATTTTTATTTGCAGCCACTTATCCTCATCTCTAGCAAAGGCAGGGGCAGAGTGGGCTGGAGACACCAGAGGAGAGACTGGGGAAGGAGGCTTTGGGGAGAGAACTGAGAGAGTAGCCAGTGGGATCCCAGTGCTGACTCCTCCCCCACCCGGAGCAGCCATCTTGCTCAGGCAGATCGCTCCCCTGAATGGCAGCAGCATGAGAGGATGCAATAACCACATCCCCAGGAGGGACTCTGCCCCTCCTTGTGGTGCTAAGCCAGGCTACTGAGTGCAAAGTGACTAGATTAACACCTGAAAGAGACAGCCACAGACAGTAGATTCCTGTAAGTCTCAAATAGACTGCCTAAGGTCAGACAGAGTCAACATCTGACATCATCAGAGGCAGATCCAGAAAGAAAAAACAGCCGTCTCCTACCATAGAAGTTCACACCGCAAAGTCAGGAAATCAAGACAGATCAATTTAAGAAGCAGAAGCAAAAAAGAAGAGTCTCACAAATAATGGGAATACAAAGAAACACCCTCCACTCGAAGGGAAGGAAGGAATCCCCAGAAAGAGAACTAAATGAAATAGAGGCAAGTAAACTATCAGATATTGGGTTCAAAACAATGCTCAATGAGCTCAGTGAGCTCAGAGAGAATTACCAAAAACTACAGGGAAACTATGAGGAACTTACTTGAAACTATATCAGCATGAAAAAGGACATAGAAACTATCAGTAAGAGACAAAAGGAAATGAAGAATACAACTTCTGAATTGAACACAGTAGAAGGAATCAAAAGCAGGCTAGATGAAACAGAGGACTGAATCAGCGAGCTGGAGAATAAGGTAGAAAAAAGCTCCCAGAAAGAGCAAGAAAATGAAAAAAGACTCAAAAAGGATGAAGAGGCTTTTAGGGAAATGCAGGGCAACGTGAAATGTAATAAGATCTATATAATAGGGATACCAGAAGGAGAAGAGGATGAGGAAGGGATAGAGAAACTGTTTGAAAAAGTAATGATGGAAACTTCCCTAACTGGAGGAGAGAAAAATCCACACAAGTCCAGGAAGTTCAGAGGGTGCCATTCAAGAGGAACCCAACGAGGCCCACTCCAAGACACATCATCATTAAAATGGAAAATGTCAAAGATAAACAGAGAATCCTAAAGGCAGCAAGGGAGAAATAGGTAGTAACATATAAGGGAGCCCTGGTATGGCTAGCAGTTGACTTCTCAACAGAAATACTACAAGGCAAAGGGAATGGTAAGAAATATTCCAAGTAATTAAAAGCTAAGGCCTGCAACCAAGACTGCTCTACCCAGCAATGCTCTCAATTAAAATGGAAAGCAAAATAAGGATTTCCCCAGACAAAGAAGGCCAAAAAAATATACCTCCACCAAACCAGCATTGCAAAATATGCTAAAGGGACTGCTTTAAGAAGATGAAGAAAAAGAGTCTATGAATACCCAGTTCCTTTCACAGTCACCAATACTTGATATTACCAGTATTTTTAATACTTACTAATCTGATTGTGACAGTGACGTACTATTTTAATTGTTCCTTCACTATTTGTTGAAACTCAACCTGTTTTTATAGCTTTCTTGCCTATTTCTATTGTTTATTTAAAAAAGCTTTAAATGACTTTTCTGTGTTCTTTATTTTTTGATTAAATGTTTGTAGAAATTTTTCCCTAAAAGAAAAAATATTAACCCTTTTTTAGATGTGTTGCAAATACTTTCCTATTCTATTACTTGTCCTTTAACTTTTTAAATATCTATATTACTGTATACTCTTAAATGTTTAATACAGTCAGATTGTCAATATTTTACTTTATAGCTTCTAGGTTTGAATATTTTACTTCACTGTAAAGAAAATATTATTTTGTATTTTCTCCTAAAACTCCTTAGATTTTACATATTGATTTTTAACTCACCTGAATATTTTTTGTATAATGTGTGAAATAGAGCTTTATATTTGTTTTAGTTCAAGTAATAGTGGCCCATGCACCTTATTTGTTGAGTAAGCCTTCTTTTCCCCATTGATTTGAAATAGCAATTTAATCCTATATTACATTGTTAGATAGATATATACATTTGTTTCTAGAATGCTCATTTTATTTCATTGATCTACTTGATTATTTCTGTGCTGGTGTCATATTGTTTTAATCACTGAGACTTTATAATGTATATAAACTTTTTAATATTTTATAATGGATTTTGATGTTTAAAAAATAAATAAATAAAATCAATCTGCATTTTTAAAAACAAAGAAAAGAAAGAAGGGACTCCTACCTTTGGCGACAACATGGATGGAACTGGAGAATATTATGCTAAGTGAAATAAGCCAGATGGTGAAAGACAAATACCATATGATCTCACCCATAAGTGGAATCTATTCAACAAAATAAACCACATGCAAGGAAACATGGAGCAGACTGAAAGTAACTAGGAGGAGGACAGTGGTAGAAAGAAGGAGAAGGGACTAAACAAAGAAAATGTATGAATGACCCATGGATACGGACAACAGAGTGGGAATGGACTGTGGGAGAAGAGGGCGGGGTGGGATGGGGGGAGGAGGGTAAAAGGGGAATAATTGAGACAACTGTAATAGAATAAACACTATTTTAAAGAAGAAAAAACACAATGAGATATCGTCTTACACCTGTCAAAATGACTACCATCAGTAAATCAACAACAAAAATAAATTTGTCCTTCTGTGATTTGTCTGTTTTTATCTTTGGTCCATTTTTCTATTAGATTGTATTTTCATTTATTTGTAGTGTTTCTTTTTATATTTGGTATATTAATCTTTTCTCTGTTGTAAAAGTAACAAGTATTTTTTCCCCAGGCTGTTGCTTATTTTTAAACCTGTTTAGGTATCTTAGTCACACAGAAAATGTCAAACTTTATAAAATCAATTTTTTGACTAATTCCTCTATAACTTCTGCATTTTGTATCTTGCTTATATAAACCTTATCCAATTAGATATTAAATTATTTTCCAAGTTTTTTGTTTCATATTTTTGTTTTTAACTCAACTTAAATCAAATTATTTTTATATATGGCATAAGTGTTATATTTTTCAAGGAGAATCACCAAATGTTTAACACCAGTTCCCTACTGATGCGAAATTCACATTTAATATACTCTAAATTCTCATTTGAAATTTAGTCAATTGCTACCTTTTTGTTTCTTTGATCTTTCCCTGCAAAAATACCACATGAATATTGGAGTGAAATTTCCTTTTTTTCCCACAGATCTAGCTCAGAGATTTCTAAAAAATTATGATGCATTAACAACACAATTGTGTGTGTGTGTGTGTGTGTGTGTGTGTGTGTGTGTGTTCTGGGGGAACCAGATATATACATATGTATTAAATATATATACATTCATGTGTGTGTAAAAGTTTCAGTCATTTTATGAGATTTTGGAAAAAGGAGATGTGTGTGTGTGTGTGTGTGTGTGTGTGTGTGTGTTGTTTAGTCAACCATCTTTATCTGATTTATTTGACTCTGGCTAGGTGGATATGTTCATTAGTTTTGAATTATAAACAACCTCACTGACAAGAGCAGCATTCTTTATGTACATATGTTAATGTGAATGTGTATAGAAAACCTTGGTTGTTAGTGAAATATATGCTTTTAAAGCTGAACTGTTCCATAGTTTAACAGAAGATTCAAGGGCAAATGAATGCTTCTTACTTGGCTTTTTGATAATGTCAATACAGTGATAATATTTTGCATCTACATATATACTTAGGTATATACTATGCACTTAAATATGTTTTTCCATAAAATCCTCAATAATTTCTTCTTAGAAAGAATCATTTAGCAAAAGGATACTAAGTTAGCTTTTTTTCCTCCCATGAATTGTATTTTTAACCTTTGCCCTACTTCCTTATTTTGTAGATGAAGGATGTCTCAAATACCTTATTATTCTTTTCCTGCAATTAGTCACTGCATATGTTTTTCTTTAAAATACCAGATGAAGAACAAAATGGAAAGGAACAAAAAGTGTAAACTTAGTTAGCAGCTGAAAACTTTTCTCTTACACTTTTAGATGTGTTCACAACACAAAGTCCAAATGGCACGCAGTCTGAAATATCTGTGAGAGCAACAACTGATCTGAAGTTTTCTCTAAGAAACTGTAAGTACTGAAACACACCATTGCAAATATGAAAAGCCCTTAAAGCAATATTTCAAAATAGCAATAGAGACTATTGGGTAGAAAAAAGATTTTAGGAGGAGCTAATGTCAAAAGTCTTAGTTCCTAAATAAGGAATCTCCATGTCTATTGCACTGATAAATTCAGAGGGCAAGGAGGTCCTTATATTTCTTAGGCTCATATTTTTGGTTTACATGGAAAAAAAATTAACTAAACTTAGTACTCCTTTCTGCTTTATACTCTCAGCTTCAAATGTTATTTCCTTTTTGCACCTTTCCAACAAGCATAACTACTTGATAGGTGACTTTGGGGCCATTAAAAGTCTCCAAAATACATATAGCACATCTTTTACTTTGGCATGTTTCTGGCAATGGCGGTTTTAATTGCTAAAAGACAGACTTGGTCAGCCTAATTATTAGTAAAACTACTTGACAATAATGGAATATTTTGAGCAGTTTAAACTTTGGGACATTTCAAGGGCATCCATTAATTTAGACAGATGACTCATGGGAATTTTGCTTGTACAAGCAAACAACTTGAGTTGTTTGGGACAAGACACAAAGAATCTGTTTAAGAAACAGATCACAAATTCCCTTGGGATTTGGACTTTTGAGGACCCATGGAAATGATTCCAAAACCCTAATTTATGTTCCCATAGTTCATGTTCCCAAAGGACTGTCAGAGAAAGTTGGATTGCAATCAGTTGTTGCCATGTTAAATGGGGCTCTGACAGTGGGAGACATGCTGACATGGATGGGACATTCTAGAGGAGCAAGCCCCTGAAGGAGAGTGGAATCTCCAGAATAATTCTGAATAACAATTCTTTTAGCCCCTGAAATTCTCAGGGAAAGTAGCGGAAGCAATCCACACAGTCTTCTCCAAGATGGTGTAAGAGGCTTGCTTAGTAGAGTTTAAGGATTTCTGACCAATTGTTCTGGTCCTGCCTGCGTTGGTGTCAACTCTGGTAACATTCCCATTTCCATCCTTTCTTGTCGCCAGGTAGGCTCAGTCTGTATTCACTCTGCCTCTCCGTAGAACTTCTCCTCTGGTGGGATTGCCTATACTACATATGGGACTTTATTGACTACTGTATTAAGCAAAGTTAATTGAAATTTCAGGCCAATTTCATGGGTGGAAATAGGGTCCTCCAGTCACAGTTGTCTCCAAACACTCTCTTACTGACGTACATCCAGATGAACAAAGTATAGACTGAAATATGTATTACATCAGGCCTGAAGATCCTCAAGTTGTAGCCTCAGATCTTTATATCTAACACTCTGTTTTGGGGTAGTAAACACAAATATGTTTCCAATTTACAAGGAAATTGATGTTGCCTCCTTTTTCATGTCATTACACTGACAGCAACCAAACTGTTCTGGGCAGACCATATCACTTCAAGGTCTGTGCAGGAATCAACCAAGACAATGTACCTAATCCAGCAGATCTCCCCTACCTCAGAGGGAAGCTTGTGGCTCCTGATTCCAGCTTTTCCTCTCTCTTGCATATTATAGGCATATGAATCGCACCTCAGGCAAAAATTTTATTTTTTCCTTCCCCTCCTTTATCTCAAAAAATTGTCAATAGTTTTCTTTGTTTTTTTCTCCCCTTTTCTTTGTTCCACTTTTTAGCTTGAAATACCTAATCACAGATGTTGAGTCCATATATTTATATGCTGATAATCTATTATCCCTTTTCCTAGATAAACTCAGTGAAACAACTACACTACCTCCTGGAAATTCCAATGAAGAACTCTCTAAAAAAAGACTTCAAAGTATTAAAGTTACTACCCTGTAGTCATACGTGGAGCATATCATTATATGAGTAAAAATTTAAGTTGTTTCACTACTCTCAGTAGTTCATAAGTATAGCATGCTTAAAGAACTTGTATTGCTACAATTTAAAATCACTCTAAAATCTTTTAAACTGTGAAAATCTAAGGGTCAATTTTCAGATGTATCCAACAAGGAGTAAAAAGTGAGCTCTTTTTAAAATACAATTTTATTTTAATAAAATGTATTAAATTTATACCTATAGTTAACATAAATGTAGGTATACATTTATATGTATATAAATATGTAACACATTTTAATATGACTTTTAATAACTACATAAAAATTTCTACCTGCTTGAGGAATAAACTTTTCTCTGCATGAGTCAATTATTAGTGTTTCCGAAGATTATTTGGGGTGGAGTGGGTGCGAGTAAGAGGTTGTGAAATCAAAATCATCATTTTACTTTCCTGCCAAGAATATTGTTCCTTATAAAATATTTGTGAAACAATAACAACCCAGGATGGCTTGAATGAGTGGTCTAATTGAGGACAATGGATATGTTGTTATATGAAACTCTATTTTCTCCAGTTCATGAAATATAAGTATGTTCCTAATATGATTACTGTAAATTCATTTGCATCTTTAACACTACTAAAAATAAAAAACTATTCAGTGTTTTTGATGTATTTAAAAATAGATATCTGATCATTGTGGTATTTCCCTTCAATATTTAGTAATTTATACTAAAGTTTTAATTTACTAAAAGTAAATAAAGAGGAAAAGAGTAAAAACCCCTTTAGGAAAAAATATTCAAAATTTTAAAGTTGCAACACTACAGTCATACCTGAAGCATATCATTATATGAGTAAAAATTTAAGCCTCACTACTTAAACTTGGGGTTACAGTCCACTCTCTAGGCATTCAAGTCTGAAATGACTCGCATTAAAAAACTTTTCAGCCTCATCTCTGGTCACATGCCCCATTCACATTCTGCCTTCCAGACCACCTGAAATAAGAGCTTATCTGTCCTGCTCATGCTTCAGAGGTTGCTCACAGTGAAATGGCCACTATCTCCCCTTGTTTGTCTGGCAATTTCTAGTCCTCTGTGCCTACATTGAAGCATCATCTCACTTCCGAAGGGGTCCAACATTTGCAAGTTGATTTTGGTCCCTCCATGCATGCATGCATGTTTCCTTTAAAGCCCTCCTTATACTGCCGCATAATTTACAGTGATTCTTGTCTGTAAATTTTCAGTGTTCTTTGAGTATTAAGACTGTCTTGTTCATTTCTGTAACTTCATTGCCAACCACATCATCTGGCACATTGTAGGAGCTCAAAGTGTAACTGTTAAATGGCTAAACTAACAAACAAGTGAATGAATGTTCTATCACTAAAGCCAAATTACCTTATTTTGTCATCCTGTTCTGTTTTGTTTCCTTAAACAGAATCAACCCAGGGTCCAAATGAGCCTGCATTTTGGACAATGTTAGCTAAAGGTAAACTCAAAGTAGTTAGGTAGCTGGGAAAATGTTTTGTTGTTCTAAAGTCTTACATAAGAAAGCCAAGGTCTGTGTCAGTAGTTCTATTATTAAGAATTAATGCCAACATTTTGCTGCCATCATGATGTGTAATAGCAAATGCAAAACAAATCCAGAAGGTTGATCAGGTGCTTTGCTTCTAATTCTACTCCAACAAGTTTTATGCTTCTATAACTGTTGGAATCAATTTATTTATGATTAAAATTTTTAAATAAGGCTCTTGCCCAATATAGTCCCTCTTTGTGTTAGGAGTAATATGCGCATAAACATATGGAGATGTATGAATAAATGCAAAGTACATGTCAAAATATTTGCATGCATTAATGTATGTATTATAAATATATAAGCATACATTATAAATGTAATGTGCATATCATACATTTTTGTGCATGTATAAATGTAACATAAACACACACGTATAAATGTAATATCACACATATATATGCATGCATTACAAATGTAAAGTATATACCACATTCAGTTGATCTTCATTATTTGCATATTCGGTATTTGAGAATTTACCGAAATCTAAGATTTATTTGTAACCCCCAAAGCAACGCTTGAAGCACTTTCGCAGTCATGTGCAGACGTGCTCAGAGGAGCCAAAAATTTTAATTGCCTGTTGCTCACATTGCCAGCTGAGGGAGAAAAAGGCAGCACTCTGCCTTCTTTTCTTTCATCTCTCATACTGTAAATAAGTGTCATTTTTTTTGTTTATTCAGTGCTACATGTATTTCCTGTTGGTGATTTTGTTCTTTAAAATAACCCCTAAGTATAGCATTAAATGCTGGTTAGTGTTCCTAAGCACAAGACGACTGTGATGTATGTACCTTATGGAGAAAATGTATGTTAGATAAGCTTTATTTAGGCAGGAGTTATAGTTCTGTTGGCTGTGAGTTCAATTTCATGAATCAGCAATATATACTAAAACAAAACGTCTTTAAACATAAGTATACATAAAACAAGGTTTTGTACTGATTGTTTGATGAACATGTTGTGACTTTACAGGAACCTAACTAACCCTGCATTTACCCTAGGATTATAAAAATAACTACCAAGAATAATGAGAATAAACTGTATATATTACACACACACACAATTTTAGTAAGTGAGTTTTGTTCACCATAACACCAATTTATTGTTTTAACAGCTTTAAATGAAACAACGGAGAATGAAGAAGCAAAAGATCAACTATTTCAACCAATTCCAAGTAAGAACAAAATACTTCAGTTAAGTGAATACATAAATATTTGCACACGTGTTAGTGTCTACATGGTGATACTGCGTTTTTGGCAAGGTGTATGTAAGAGGGTAGTGTAGTGTGGTAGCTAACACTATAACAGAGGGCATTTATGGTTTTAGGAAAGTTATGGTTGTTTGTTAAGCCTTGTTCTCCAGTTACTGTATTGCAGATGACTATTCCCATCTTCTGTTTTGTAACTTCTGTTCCTGAAACAGATGAACCAAATGGAGGAGTAGGAGAGTGAATAAAATATAGAATGCAGATTGTTTTTTTTTTAAATTGATAGGCTTTTTGTTTAAAGTAGTTTTAGGCTTATGGGAAAATTGAGTAGAAATTCAAGAGAGTTCACATATATTCCCTGTGCTCAGTTTCCACTTATTAACACCTTGCATTGGTGTGGTACAGTTTTTATAATTTATGAGGCAATATTGACACAGTATTATTAACTAAAGTCGATAGTTTACATTAGGGTCCCCTTTTTGTGTTATACAAATCTATGGGTTTAAAAAAATTTTTTTTATTGTTTTTCAAGTACACTTTTTAAAAAAATTTTAGAAAAAATATTAAAATTTTATTGTTCAACTACAGTCAAATCTATGGGTTTTGATGAATGTAAATGTCATGTGTCCACCACTACAGTATCATAAAGAATAGTTTTCCCACCCTAAAAATCCTCTGAGCTCCATTTGTCCGTCTCTTCCTCACCTCAACTCCTGGCAACTACTGAAATTTTCATTGTCTCTATAGTTTTACCTTTTCCAGAAAGACATATATTTGGAAATACAAATATACTACGTAGCCTTTCCAGACTAGCTTCTTTTGCTTAGTGATATGCACATAAGATTCATCTATAGATTTCCATGTCTTGATAGTTCATATCTCTTCATCACTGAATAATATTCTACTGTATATAGGTGCCAGTTTCTTTATTCAGTCACCTAGTAAAGGTCATTTGATTGCTTCCAAGTCTCAGCAATATAAATAAATCTATAAACATTCACATGTATATTTTGTGAGGACACAAATTTTCAACTCATTTGAAATAACCAAGGATTGTGTTAGCTGGGTTGTATAGAAAGACTCCATTTAGCTTTGTAAGAAACTACCAAACTATCTTCCAAAGTGGCTACACCATGTTGCATTTTGGCCAGCAATGAATTAGAAAATTCCTGCTGCTGAATATAGTAATTTTCATTAAATGGATTAATTAAATTTATATGCATGGAAGAACCCCTGATTTGAATGGAAAATTTCACGACAAGGTAATATATTAATGTTCCTCAAACCTCTGTCTTGCAAATAAACCATTGAAAGAGAAAACAACAACTGATGCTACACAGAAGGCCTGTCACATCAGTTCAGCACTGGATTGTTTGACATGGACAGCCTCTTGCTTGCCGTGCTTCCAGAAAATGGCATAAGGCATCTTTGTCTTAGAAGAGCTAGACATAACAATGACAGCTCCTGCGCCACTTGGGAATTATTTTGTCTTTTTAAGTAATTAAATTCAGCATGATTGATTTTGAATCACAAAGCCTAAACTACATGCCAGTGCTTTACATACATTATATCTTAGTCCTCACAGCAACTCCATGAAGTTGGTATTATCTCCATTTTACAGATGAGAAAACCAAGGCTTAGAGAGAAATCCTGTTCAAAACTGCCATTAGAATTTTCATAATTTCCAGTGGTTAGGAATCCCAAACCCTTCCCTAGCTTTGACCATCACCTTGACAAACATGCATTCTTTACAAAACCCTTTTAAAAAAAAAAGTAGCAAAGCAATTCAGGAGCACGGCCCATTTTAACACAACTGTTTATTCCAGAAATAATCTGCCTCAAAGTCAAGATATCAGTCTTTGACAATTGTACACATTTCACTCCACTTTAACAATTACTATTTTTAAAAATCAGAGCATACAGACATGGGAGCTCGTCATTGCCAATTACCAAAAACATCATTACCTAGAAGATAAGGAAAGCCCTTGAAATTTGTGGGAGGATGTTGGGGAAAGGAGAGGAATCTCAACATGGTCATTTAAAGTATTTAAAGCGATCATTAAATATATGTCTATTAAGTTTGACATATATTTTTAAAATATAAAATTTGACAGTAAAGATATAATCCCATTCATAAAGTTAGTAAAAAGACTTTTGACATGTCTGGATTTGGATATTATTTTTATTACATAACTTATTTTAGAAAGTTAAGTAAGTTTCAGTTTCTTCCTTTAACAGCAAGTATGTGAGGTTAGACCTCAGTAATGAAATGGCAAGTGCAGTTCTTAAGTCTCATGGAGAAAACACCTGATACACCATCATGTTAGCTTAAAAGAAAAATCAATGCATATCCCAAGAGTCAGATTTCATCTTTCTCTTTTGAAGGATATGTGTAAATTCACATTTTTCATAGTGATCTCTTTAGAGTCTTGAACTGGTTTTGGTTAGGGAGGAAGTCTACTACATATACACATGGGTAATCTGGGTTTGAAGCCAGACTTTGCCACTTGATAGCTCTGTGTCCTGGGGAAATTATAATCTGTGATCCTGTAAACCAGAGTCAAGGACAGTTTTCCCAGGATTACTGTGAAAGTTACATGAAACAAGGGTACTCGTCCACAGAGGAAAACAGAGATTGCTCTCCTTTGCATTGCCTGAGGGTAGAGGAGTGAACAGTGCTCCAGAGGGTGGAAGGCCTTTCTGCAGTGGCTTTGTAACCCTGATTCCTCCAGAAAAACATGCTGAACAAACACAATTACTCTTTTCCATTGCATTGTCTCTCTTTCCTCTCAGGCTCTGATTTGAATGCTACAAATGAAGAGAAAGAGGTGGGGCCACAGGACATCAAGTTAAAATTAATGCTGGGCATTTCACTGATGACCCTCTGCCTTTTCGTCATCCTCTTGGCAGTATCTAGTTCCCTGCTGTATAAGCTGAAAACAAGGTAAGTCTACAGACCTCTGAAGTCTCTATAACATACATAATGTGTCGCTCTTCCCCATCTCTCTAATGGACTATCAGGAAAACGTGACTTTCAAATTTATCTAGAAGGCATTCAGTTGGCTCCATTGCCCCTACACAGAAAGAAAAAATGGGATGTTTCTTAGGCAATATCCCTCTTGAACATTTCCCAATATTTTAAATAATCATCTAGATACAAGGGTGTCTGACATTTTGGTGTCTCTGAGCCACACTAGAAGAAGAAGAGTTGCTTTGCGCCACCCATTAAATACATTGGAACATGTAATCACAAAAAAATCTCAATGATTTAGGTAAATTAACAATTTTGTGTTGGGCCGCATTCATAGCCATCCTGAGCCACATGAGACCCGTGGGCTGCAGGTTGGACACCCCTTATTCTAGAACAAGAAATCACCCTAATCAGCTGGAGAGACTGAGAATCTGGATATGCCTCCTTTTTTGAAAGCCTTGGAACGAAAGCACTGTGAACTCTGTTCTAAATAGCACATCTGCTTAGCGTCTAATAGTTTTCATTCATTTAAATATAGTGGACAGAATTCATACACTGTTTTAATTTTTGTGGTGCTTTTTTGAGTTGTGCTGCAAATATACACAATTTTAAACAATTCTTGATACCTGTTTTCATTTTTCAGTTTTATAAAGAAACAGGAACGTGAATACACCGTCAACCCAGAGCTGGCAGCCCTGTCTTATTTTCACCCAGCAGAAGGTGTATCAGACACATCTTTTTCTAAGAGTGCTGGAAGCAGCACGTATTTGGATACAAAGTCAAAATCTAAAACAACGGACATGATTTCCACAGCCTCAGATGAAGATGAATGAGCCTTCAGAGTGAGGAAGTTGTCACTGATGAACAGACAACTTTAATTGTTTGTCATTAAACAAGAAGTATCTTTCTTTGTGAATTGCATTAGAGTCATGATTTGAAAACTGCTGAGGCATTTAAATTTTTCTGGCATCTTAAAGTCAGGACATATTCAATAAAGTTACCTCAGCTATAAAAATTATTTAATGGAAAAATAAAAGAAAGTAATTTAAGGTGTGGAAAACTTATTGGGTAAAAATAATCCTAGAAAGTGACTTACAAAAAGTCTGGGTTGTTTAATTTTTAAATGCGGACATAAATATCTATCTACCTTATCTGAGGGCATTTGGAGGACTTTCAGGGTGATCACCGTGACTTACACCCCTTCCCACCACCAAAACCAAAGATCACACCTGTTTATGTTTTACTGGCAAAACAATTGTGCCATATCAAGAGATAAAACTAAATTAATACTAAAGACTCCTAGCAGTCTTGAATTGTTTAAAAGTCACTGGGGCTACCCTGGCTGGGTGGCTTCGTTGGTTGGAACGTATCCGGTACACCAAAAGTCTGTAGGTTCAGTCCCTGGTCAGGGCACATAAGTAGGTTGCCAGTTCCATTCCCGGTTGGGGTATGTGTGCAGGAGACAACTGACTGATGTTTCTCTCTCACATCAATGCTTCTCTCCCATCCTCCATCTCTAAAACCAATGAACATATCTTTGGATGGGGATTTAAAAAGTCACCAGGGCTGCTCTCACTGGAAAAACAATAAGAAAAAAAAAAAAGATTTTTTTTCCCCATTTCTAAAGTACGCATAAGCATTTGAGATAACATGATGTTCCAGAAGAAATGAAAGGAAGAAGGGGTCCCAGCACATAATTTCTTAGAGGGGGATTCATGGGCCTCGACTATTTCAGAGCTGAAGGGCCCTTCCATCTCTCTCCCCACAAGCACCCAGGCTCATTGTGCTTTATTGGAAAAATAGCAAAGCATCTCAAAGACTAATTCAAGTTATTAGGGACTTATGAGGCCATTCATCCCGGGACTATTTCAGTTTAACAAGAAGACCAACAGAATGGGGATATTTTTCTCTTTAATCAATTAGTTTTAAACGGAAGGATTTTAGGGACGTTTATCATGCGTGGATATGTGCGGATGGGAAAGAGGGGGAGAACTTAGGACAGGCTTTGTTGTCCTTCTAAATTCTCACCAACTTTATTCTCAGACTTCGGCATAACACATGATATCACATTGAATTCTACCTCCCTAAAAAAGGCAAGTGTCTTTCACAATTCAAGAAACAAAAACTCAGGTAAGCCAGATACCTTGCCCAAGATCACATATGAGAAAACGGCAAAGGTAAGATATGATTCCAAAATGAGGTTCCATACATGATCCATGAAGCTTAACAGTCAAACTTTTAACAAAAGTCAAAGGAAGTTATTTAGGAGCATGGTAGGCCCGGCCTCCTTAAGGCAGGAGGTTCTTTAATTTAGGGGTTCGCTCTGCTCCTGATGATTTATTTTCCTGACCTCTAGCTTAGGCCTCTATGACCTTCCTTCCCCATGGAGAGGACAGACACACACACTTCACACTCAGGTACCATTTCGCCTACCATCCGCGCTCAGCTCACTTCCTGTTTCCTCCCTGGCCTGTGCCCCCAGCCTCTCTGTCGCTTGGGAAAGCTACAAAGGTCCACCGTTCCGTAGCCATGGCCCATATAAGATGTTGCCTTGAGGCACAAATGGTGTCGGGGCAGGTGCTTGCTTTTGCCTGATCTTGCCAATAACACCCACAGCTTCTGAGCCAGGAGGGTAACCTTGACCTATAGCCCACGCTACCCCTTGCGGGTTACTTTTGTCATTTTTCCATGCCCTTTGAAAGCCCCAGGGGTTAGTGCTAGCATTTGCGCTTACAGTTCAGACCCAAGAAACGCAGTGATAACTGAGTGAGGCAAGCGGTTACAGCTGCTTGAGGTGCTCCAGGTGCAGAGGAGGGATGTTGAGGCTGTAGGTAAGAAGGGTTTTGTGGGAAGGCTGTCGGCAGGGCTTGGGGAGGGGTTGACTACTAACCATTCCCATTTTTGGAAGGGGCCAAGAATTTTCTTCATTGGAAATAGGTATAAGAGTCACTTTGCAATCACATAACTTGTCTCCAGTACTAAAGTATTGTAGCATAAGAGAGTTAATTATTATAGCATTACTGTGTGTGGCTAAAATGGCTAAGAGATGAAGTTAACCATATTGTTAAAAATTAGCTTGTCATCCTCAGTTGACACAGTGTGCACAGACCATTGCAAAGTGAAGTCAAGGTATTGCGGTGGCAGGGACTTGAAGATGGTCCTTATTGGTGACCAATTTCTTCTCCCCCTTTGCTTGACTGAGAGTGAAAAGTGGGCCGTACAGTGCAGACTGGGTAAAGGGAGGGGGGCAGTCTTCTCATTTGTTCCTTGCTGATCCTCTCTTCCGTTGCTAAACCTACACTTTCTGAACAGGTTCTCTGGGCCTCCGACAAAACCCTTTTTAACCTGTCTCTCCCTCCCCCATTCTGAAATACCCCTGTATTTCCTGTCTGACGCCTATAACCTACCTCTTCCTCAGTCCTCAAAGAGGGGTTTTCATGTTCTCTACCTCAACTATTTAAGGGCAATTCCTATAGAAAAGCTGTTATGGGCAAGAGAAAAACAAACGCTTGCCTTAGAACTAGCAACCAAGTTGTTCCAGCGTGCTCAAGAATACCGTACGTCCCTCCCGCCTCAGGCGGGTGCTGGTCCTTACTCCCTCTTTCCCTCTCCTTCCCACAGAAAGTGTGTTCTGAGATTGCCGAAAAGGGAGGCTGCTATGACGGTCCGGCTTAGGGGCATTTTCTGTGGATCTTATAGGTGATCACACAGTTTCCTGAAACGAGGCGGGGGGGGGGCGGGGGGGTGGACAGTGGTGCCCAGCGATATTCAGAAGATGGTTGCCGGGGACTGCCTGCTCCAACGCGTCTCTTTCTTGGGTTGGGAGGAGGGGGTGCTTCCCCACAGGAGCGCCCCGCCTCCGCCCTACGTGGGCGGCCCAATGGGCTCGGGTTCGCGTGAGGTTGCAACGGGGCCAGGCCCTGTGGAAAGCCTGCACTAGGCCTGAGGTCGCCTTGCGAGGATCAGAGTTTGCCAAATCCTGGGAGCATGGGACCCTAGAAAGCGTGCACAGGTTTGCCGGTGGTGAGATGCATGTGCGTGGTCTTGTGTGGTTTTCTCCTTTCTCCCTGTAACACATCCCCAGAGTGAAATTATTATAAGGGGTTTACAGGGTTCTGGTGAAAAGTAGTCGTGTGGGACCCAGGTTAATTACAAATCAAAAGGAGCTGTTCCCAATCACCTCTAGCCTGAGCGAAAGTTTCAAGTGTGCCTTCCAACGTCAGAATTAGCGCTCCAAATCTAGCTTCTGATGGAGCGAAAGGAGTATTACCTTGTGAAGTGGAGGGAAAAATACAATCACTTTCTTTTTCAATCGCACCCCCAAAGCACTGATTAAACAGCCCTCCTTGAATCATGGCAACCAAATAAAACCCAGCTTTTGCCAAAAAGCAATTTTGACTGGTTATCCAGAGTTTACTCCCCTTTCCAAGTTTACTTAAAGAGAAATTAGATCCAGACATTTATGTTTGGATCTTAGGATAATTGTCCTTGTGCCTGCTCTTTCCCTTCTCCCTCCTCCATCAAAATGCCATGCATCTTTGTCACACACTTTGTCCTGGATTTTAATGGGGTTAGTTTCTTAGTAGACAATGAGTGATAAATTGAAAGGCTGTGGAGCCAGGAGAAAATTCACTGCATACAGAGGAAGCATGTGTATATTATACAAACCTATAAGTTATCTAAAGTAAATTCAGAGTTTCAAGAAGCATAATTTGGACCACGTCTCATCTCTGCAATCTCTTGTTTGGAAGAAGGAGAAAGTGTGTAAATTATGCCATGATTGATAGAGGAAAGTATATCTTGGAAAGAGGGAAGAGGTGGTGATTTCCTTAGTGAGAAGAAAGGAGCTGCCAGGTGTGAGCAGCCCGCACTGCCAGCCTTATCTCTTGTCACCAGCCTGGTTTTCCTTCCAAGTGTGGCTCCAGTTGCTCTGGAGTTTAGTTTTATTTGTTGATTTTTTTATGGTTGTTGATGAGGCAAAGTGTTTTGTTTTATTTTGTGTTTGAGGCATTCTGTAGAACATCAGAGACCATAGAATGTTAGGGACAACTGAATTAGGTAAAGCCTACTGCTTTAAATAATAGTTCTGCGTAAGAGACATTCAGCAATTTGAATTGTTTCTTAATTGTCAGTGTTTGATAAATAATAAGGTGAATGGTATATATCCAAATTATATCACATTCGACACAGTTTAATTATGTATAAACCTGCACTGTCCCACTAATATATATCTCACCCTAGTGATAAGGCACAAAATATACTATAATCTAACATGGGAAAAGCTAGACATTTGAAAGGCTTAGACAGTGACAGTCATTGACTTCTTATAGTCTCTTTCCAAGACCTGATCAATTAGTAAACAACTCCCTGTGTTTAAACCTGAGTTTGGAAGAGCTAATGATAGGAAACTACCTGTCCAGGATATCCTGGAGTTTGCATTTCATGTTATGTGATTTTTAAAAATTAAACAAAACTCATCTGCCATTGACAACTCCTAGACACAGCTATGGCAGAATTGGAAAGAATCAACAAAGAAATCGAGTCAGTCAAGACTGAGGTTGAAGAAAAGCAGAAGAGGCTTTCTGCTTTACCACTTGAGCTATTGCGAAGCCCTGTGGTCTCGTTGAATTATTCAAACGTGAGACACTATTTTCCTGAAAATAGCCTGCTTCTAAAGGAAAAGTGGAATGAACCATCAAAGAACAAAGAGAGTCAGCCTAGAAAGTACGGGATGGACCACAAATGTCCAGTGACTTATCTTGAATATGATCTTTTGCTCAATTATTCTATGGGGAATCTAAAACCAAACAGGATGAGACTGAAACTCAGAACT